ATACAGTCCTTCTGTCTGTGTGATAGGACCATGCAATCCTTCTGTTTGATAGGACCATACAATCCTTCTGTGTGATAGGACCATACAATCAATCCTTCTGTCTGTGTGATAGCACCATACAGTCCTTCTGTCTGTGTGATAGGACCATGCAATCCTTCTGTTTGATAGGACCATACAATCCTTCTGTGTGATAGGACCATACAATCAATCCTTCTGTCTGTGTGATAGGACCATACTATCATTCTGTCTGTGATAGGACCATAGAATCCTTCTGTGTGATAGGACCATACAATCATTCTGTCTGTGTGATAGGACCATACAATCCTTCTGTCTGTGTGATAGGACCATACAATCCTTCTGTGTGATAGCACCATACAATCCTTCTGTCTGTGTGACAGGACCGTACAATCCTTCTGTCTGTGTGATAGGACCATACAATCCTTCTGTGTGATAGCACCATACAATCCTTTTGTCTGTGTGATAGGACCATACAATCCTTCTGTCTGTGTGATAGGACCATACAATCCTTCTGTCTGTCTGATAGCACCATACAATCCTTCTGTGTGATAGCACCATACAATCCTTCTGTCTGTGTGATAGCACCATACATTCCTTCTGTCTGTGTGATTGGACCATACAATCCTTCTGTCTGTGTGATAGCACCATACTATCCTTCTGTCTGTGTGATAGGACCATACAATCCTTCTGTCTGTGTGATAGCACCATACAATCCTTCTGTCTGTGTGATAGGACCATACAATCCTTCTGCCTGTGTGACAAGACCGTACAATCCTTCTGTCTGTGTGATAGGACCATACAATCTTCTGTCTGTGTGATAGCACCATACTATCCTTCTGTCTGTGTGATAGCACCATACAATCCTTCTGTCTGTGTGATAGGACCATACAATCCTTCTGTCTGTGTGATAGGACCATACAATCCTTCTGTCTGTGTGACAAGACCGTACAATCCTTCTGTCTGTGTGATAGGACCATACAATCCTTCTGTCTGTGTGATAGGACCATACAATCCTTTTGTCTGTGTGATAGGACCATACAATCATTCTGCCTGTGTGATAGCACCATACAATCCTTCTGTCTGTGTGACAGGACCATACAATCCTTCTGTCTTTGTGATAGGACCATACAATCCTTCTGTCTGTGTGATAGCACCATACAGTCCTTCTGTCTGTGTGATAGCACCATGCAATCCTTCTGTATGATAGGACCATACAATCCTTCTGTGTGATAGGACCATACAATCCTTCTGCCTGTGTGATAGGACCATACTATCATTCTGTCTGTGTGATAGGACCATAGAATCCTTCTGTGTGATAGGACCATACTATCATTCTGTCTGTGTGATAGCACCATAAAATCCTTCTGTCTGTGTGATAGGACCCTACTATCCTTCTGTCTGTGTGATAGGACCCTACTATCCTTCTGTCTGTGTGATAGGACCATACTATACTTCTGTCTGTGTGATAGGACCATACTATACTTCTGTCTGTGTGATGGGACCATTTGTCATTCTAAAGATATCTTCTGATAAACTTTGCTTTTGCTGTGATTTCAGATGTACTCATTGATTCAAAATTTATTGCTTTCCTAAAATACTTCTTTTGTGGGTACTTGATTTCATGGGTATGAATTAGTAAGAAAATCTATCAGTATTTTGGTAGCAGTTTGTTGATGTGTGATAATTTCTTTTGATGTTTAAGCAAACCTCATGAAAAGGAATGACAAAATAGATTGAAAATCACAATTTTAGAAATCCATTGCTAATAAAACAAAAACGCTGGAAAAATCCTTCACACAATTTTATTTAACAGGAATGTAAAAAAAGATAAAGAATTGAAAAAGTTATAACGATAAAAATAAATCCCTACATTACTACAACAACGGAGGGCACTCCACACTCTGCATCACTATAACAACGGAGGGTTGTTCACAACCAAAATCACACAGGAAACAGTAGTTGTCTAAACCAGAGGTATCAACACCTTTATCTGTCTAAACCAGAGGTATCAACACCTTTATCTGTCTAAAGCAGGGGTATCAACACCTTTATCTGTCTAAAGCAGGGGTATCAACACCTTTATCTGTCTAAACCAGGGGTATCAACACCTTTATCTGTCTAAACCAGAGGTATCAACACCTTTATCTGTCTAAACCAGAGGTATCAACACCTTTATCTGTCTAAACCAGAGGTATCAACACCTTTATCTGTCTAAACCAGAGGTATCAACACCTTTATCTGTCTAAACCAGAGGTATCAACACCTTTATCTGTCTAAACCAGAGGTATCAACACCTTTATCTGTCTAAAGCAGAGATATCAACACCTTTATCTGTCTAAACCAGAGATATCAACACCTTTATCTGTCTAAACCAGAGATATCAACACCTTTATCTGTCTAAACCAGAGGTATCAACACCTTTATCTGTCTAAACCAGAGGTATCAACACCTTTATCTGTCTAAACCAGAGGTATCAACACCTTTATCTGTCTAAACCAGAGATATCAACACCTTTATCTGTCTAAACCAGAGATATCAACACCTTTATCTGTCTAAACCAGAGGTATCAACACCTTTATCTGTCTAAACCAGAGGTATCAACACCTTTATCTGTCTAAACCAGAGGTATCAACACCTTTATCTGTCTAAACCAGAGGTATCAACACCTTTATCTGTCTAAACCAGAGATATCAACACCTTTATCTGTCTAAACCAGAGATATCAACACCTTTATCTGTCTAAAGCAGAGGTATCAACACCTTTATCTGTCTAAACCAGAGGTATCAACACCTTTATCTGTCTAAACCAGAGGTATCAACACCTTTATCTGTCTAAACCAGAGGTATCAACACCTTTATCTGTCTAAACCAGAGATATCAACACCTTTATCTGTCTAAACCAGAGATATCAACACCTTTATCTGTCTAAACCAGAGATATCAACACCTTTATCTGTCTAAAGCAGAGATATCAACACCTTTATCTGTCTAAACCAGAGGTATCAACACCTTTATCTGTCTAAACCAGAGGTATCAACACCTTTATCTGTCTAAACCAGAGGTATCAACACCTTTATCTGTCTAAACCAGAGATATCAACACCTTTATCTGTCTAAACCAGAGGTATCAACACCTTTATCTGTCTAAACCAGAGGTATCAACACCTTTATCTGTCTAAACCAGAGGTATCAACACCTTTATCTGTCTAAAGCAGAGATATCAACACCTTTATCTGTCTAAACCAGAGGTATCAACACCTTTATCTGTCTAAAGCAGAGGTATCAACACCTTTATCTGTCTAAAGCAGAGGTATCAACACCTTTATCTGTCTAAAGCAGAGGTATCAACACCTTTATCTGTCTAAACCAGAGGTATCAACATGTCAAACACATTCAACATGGAGAAAATAAAACCTGCTGATACAGAATATGACCTTGACAGTGTTTCTCAGCTTTCGGTGTAGGTTAATCGACAAGTCTGTAACCCTGGTGTGATCGACTCATTATTTCATCTTACTTACAGTATCTACTGGATTTTGTTAAGCTAAAAAAAGTTAAGATGTCTCCATATGAAATAATCCGATATATCTAACTAGGTTTAGAAAAATAAAACAGATCTACTCATAGCAATTAACAGAAAAACTAATTGAAAGAAATTTGTCTATTAATCTTTCATTTGCTATAGGATTTATTAGTCTAATTTGAGATCCAGTTCCTGTGAAAACTACCTGTGCTAACTACATTCCTATGCTAATTACCGGGTACAGGTAAAACTGTGTGGGTGTTAAAAGTGACTGGCAGTGCTGTGTAACATATACAAACTTCACACAGACACAAGTGCTACGCATACATCACACATATACACAAAAAACTGTCAGCAACTTAAACTCTCATTCTTAATTCAACAATGCCATTTATGAATTAACATACAGTGGAATGTATCACAACCATCAAACTAGTGAAAAAGCATGAAATAGTGAACATGGACTGTGTATCGTCCATACAGCTTTCATACCAAATCAACTAAAATCATACCATCAACAAAGCACTTGACTAGTAATTGGTAGTACTGGGTTCGAATCCCAGAACTCAACAGCCTTATCAATCAGTAATGATGATATTTAGGTAAAGGAAATGAAGGTAACTTACACTCCACAGATGTACTTTCAAAATCAGCAAATTTTACCACTACACTTCAAACAGTTGGAAACTTTCCTGTCATTTACCTTCTATCACTATCACAGAAATTGGCATCGGAATTCTAAAAGTGCTTTTTAATACATAAAAGTAAAATCTGGACACAATCCTTAATGATATTATGTAGAGGGTTTTAACACTATCTTGTCCAATAGGAGGGATTGACTTGTTCATATTTCTGAATCAATTGTTTCTGACATATACTATCTGAATTACAATAAATAAATACTAAGTTAATGGAATGATTTGTGGGCCGAAACAAATGGCATAAAATGTGTTAATATATTTTGGTTTAAACCATCTCACTAAGGAAGACTTTATACAAAATGCCAACCTTCAAGCCCTTGTAGAGTCATGACTGACAAGTAAAATTATAAATGTATAGAGAATTGACCGTACACTGTCTATCCTGGTATTATGACCTTACACTGTCTTCACAGGCTGTAGGTGTTCAGTTTTCGTGTTTCTATCCAGATTTCCTGACAGGCTGTAGGTGTTCAGTTTTCGTGTTTCTATCCAGATTTCCTGACAGGCTGAAGGTGTTCAGTTTTCGTGTTTCTATCCAGATTTCCTGACAGGCTGTAGGTGTTCAGTTTTCGTGTTTCTATCCAGATTTCCTGACAGGCTGTAGGTGTTCAGTTTTCGTGTTTCTATCCAGATTTCCTGACAGGCTGTAGGTGTTCAGTTTTCGTGTTTCTATCCAGATTTCCTGACAGGCTGTAGGTGTTCAGTTTTCGTGTTTCTATCCAGATTTCCTGACAGGCTGTAGGTGTTCAGTTTTCATGTTTCTATCCAGATTTCTTGACAGGCTGTAGGTGTTCAGTTTTCATGTTTTTCAGGCGTAGCTTGTTGAGGATTTGAGCAGTGATCATGGCAGCTTGTTTGTCTCCTGCTTGTTGTTGTGCTTGTTGGAGATACAACCAGAATGGCATCATGTCTGGCTGTAATTCTGTACCCTGTCAAAAATACAAAACACAGAACATCATGTCTGGCTGTAATTCTGTACCTTGTCAACAATACAAAATACAGAACATCATGTCTGGCTGTAATTCTGTACCCTGTCAAAAATACAAAACACAGAACATTATGTCTGGCTGTAATTCTGTACCCTGTCAACGATACAAAAACACAGAACATCATGTCTGGCTGTAATTCTGTACCCTGTCAACGATACAAAATACAGAATATCATGTCTGGCTGTAATTCTGTACCCTGTCAAAAATACAAAACACAGAACATTATGTCTGACTGTAATTCTGTACCTTGTCAAAAATACAAAACACAGAACATTATGTCTGGCTGTAATTCTGTACCCTGTCAACGATATAAAACACAGAACATCATGTCTGGCTGTAATTCTGTACCTTGTCAAAAATACAAAACACAGAACATTATGTCTGGCTGTAATTCTGTACCTTGTCAAAAATACAAAACACAGAACATTATGTCTGGCTGTAATTCTGTACCTTGTCAAAAATACAAAACACAGAACATTATGTCTGGCTGTAATTCTGTACCTTGTCAAAAATACAAAACACAGAACATTATGTCTGGCTGTAATTCTGTACCTTGTCAAAAATACAAAACACAGAACATTATGTCTGGCCGTAATTCTGTACCCTGTCAACAATACATCACATCATGTCTGGCTGTAATTCTGTACCCTGTCAGCAATACATAACACAGAATATCATGTCTGGCTGTAATTCTGTACCTTGTCAACAATACATAACACAGAACATCATGTCTGGCTGTAATTCTGTACCCTGTCAAAAATACAAAACACAGAACATTATGTCTGGCTGTAATTCTGTACCCTGTCAACGATACAAAAACACAGAACATCATGTCTGGCTGTAATTCTGTACCCTGTCAACGATACAAAATACAGAATATCATGTCTGGCTGTAATTCTGTACCCTGTCAAAAATACAAAACACAGAACATTATGTCTGGCTGTAATTCTGTACCTTGTCAAAAATACAAAACACAGAACATTATGTCTGGCTGTAATTCTGTACCCTGTCAACGATACAAAATACAGAATATCATGTCTGGCTGTAATTCTGTACCCTGTCAAAAATACAAAACACAGAACATTATGTCTGGCTGTAATTCTGTACCTTGTCAAAAATACAAAACACAGAACATTATGTCTGGCTGTAATTCTGTACCCTGTCAACAATACAAAATACAGAACATCATGTCTGGCTGTAATTCTGTACCCTGTCAAAAATACAAAACACAGAACATTATGTCTGGCTGTAATTCTGTACCTTGTCAAAAATACAAAACACAGAACATTATGTCTGGCTGTAATTCTGTACCCTGTCAAAAATACAAAACACAGAACATCATGTCTGGCTGTAATTCTGTACCTTGTCAACAATACAAAATACAGAACATCATGTCTGGCTGTAATTCTGTACCCTGTCAAAAATACAAAACACAGAACATTATGTCTGGCTGTAATTCTGTACCCTGTCAAAAATACAAAACACAGAATATCATGTTTGGCTGTAATTCTGTACCCTGTCAACGATATAAAACACAGAACATTATGTCTGGCTGTAATTCTGTACCCTGTCAAAAATACAAAACACAGAACATTATGTCTGGCTGTAATTCTGTACCCTGTCAACAATACATAACACAGAACATCATGTCTGGCTGTAATTCTGTACCTTGTCAAAAATACAAAACACAGAACATTATGTCTGGCTGTAATTCTGTACCCTGTCAAAAATACAAAACACAGAACATTATGTCTGGCTGTAATTCTGTACCCTGTCAACAATACATAACACAGAACATCATGTCTGGCTGTAATTCTGTACCTTGTCAAAAATACAAAACACAGAACATTATGTCTGGCTGTAATTCTGTACCCTGTCAAAAATACAAAACACAGAACATTATGTCTGGCTGTAATTTGTTATGCCCAAAGTTTTATTTTATGTCATCTACTTTTGTAACTTTTATCCTTCGAAAAAAAAAAGCGACAAAAAAAAAAGAAAAAAAATAAATTCTTGAAATAATTGGTTTAAAACCTCTCGAATCTTTACCATGATTCTTAAAGCTGTCACATATATGATGAACAATTGAAGGCAAATTCTAAAGACATTCCAGTATCATCATTGTGTCCCATTACCTGAAGAAATGATTGAGCCATGAAGTGATGATCCCTAATATTTAAGATATCTGAAGGTATCTCCTCAAGGAAGTCATAGTATCAGACTAAATATATGTTACCCTTTTGAAGTGTGGAACAGCTTCGGCAGGGCGGCCATTTTGCAGGAAAAAGTCTCCCATGGCAGCATGGATATCCCAGAGGTCAGGGTTCAAAGCCAAGGCCTTTTTGTAGGCCGCTTCAGCCTCTTTGTTTTTCTTCAGCTATAAAATGAACAAATCAGAAATGCTGACAATGACAACAATCAAATATCAATACCATAACATGAAGGTCAATACAATAATGATAGGCTAACTAACAGCTACAAAGGTCATAAGTCAAAGGTCAAATGCAAAGGAAACAGGGCAATATAAAGGTCAACTAACAACCAAAGGTCAAATAAGAACATAGTCATCCTGATCCCTCGCCCATGTTCATTTGTAAAATATATACATTTAAAGTGAGAAACATGGAAAAATTGAAAAAATATCGGCCAATCAGGTCATAGCAGCCTCATTAAATATTCGCAAAATTAGACGATAATCAAACTTGAACAAGGGGTTAAGGTAACAAGTCTACCAAGCAAGTGTCAGCATAATTCATTTGTTCCTTCAAATGAAAAAGTGAGGAAAGCATTCTGTTAGAGTTCAGAAAGATATCAGCCAATCAGGTCACATAAAATATTCATAGAATGAACAAGGAATTAAGATATAAAGTCTCTACAAAGCAAGCTTCCTAAAAATCTTATGAATTCTTCATAAGATAATGTGCAGAAAGATTTCCCATAGAGTGATTAAAGAAATCCATTGACCAGTCCTTCAAACGATAACATGCAGAAAGAAGCAGCCGAGAGTGATTAAAGAAATCAGCCAATCAGGTCAGAGCAACTTGATTAAATATGTGTGAAAATTGCTGTTAATCAAAATTGAGCAAATAATTAAGGTAATGTAAGAGTTTAAACAGATTGATTTACATACAATACACATAAACAATCAATGAGGGTCCCTGTTACCAAACTACCGCTCACGAAGACCCGGAAGATTGGCCAAATGCTCAGATTTGACACACAAGTTTGTTGGTTAATAGATTTCACATCTGTACCGTTCGCTGGCTTGGGTCAAAAGAGGAAGATCATACCTCTCCCAGTAAGAGAGTCACAATCAGGAGCAGTAACTCTGACTGATAATCCAAACAGTAACACATATACCAACAATGTTTCACTTGAATCTGACAAGTCCTTCAAAAGATATCATGTGGAAAGCAAGCATCCGCAAGAAGGACAGAAGGATTGACAGACGGATCGAATGGCTGACAGACGGATGGAATGGCTGACAGACCAAAGAAACCAAAGAAAGGTCAACCAGTAAACAACAACAGAAAGGTCAACCAGTAAACAACAACAGAAAGGTCAACAAATAAACAACCAAAGAAAGGTCAACCAGTAAACAACCAAAGAAAGGTCAACCAGTAAACAACAATAGAAAGGTCAACCAGTAAACAACAACAGAAAGGTCAACCAGTAAACAACAACAGAAAGGTCAACCAGTAAACAACCAAAGAAAGACCAACCAGTAAACAACAACAGAAAGGTCAACCAGTAAACAACAACAGAAAGGTTAACCAGTAAACAACAACAGAAAGGTTAACCAGTAAACAACAACAGAAAGGTCAACAAGTAAACAACAACAAAAAGGTCAACCAGTAAACAACAACAGAAAGGTCAACCAGTAAACAAGCAAAGAAAGGTCAACCAGTAAACAACTAAAGAAAGGTCAACCAGTAAATAACAACAAAAAGGTCAACCAGTAAACAACAACAAAAAGGTCAACCAGTAAACAACAGAAAGGTCAACCAGTAAACAACAACAGAAAGGTCAACCAGTAAACAACCAAAGAAAGGTCAACCAGTAAGCAACAACAGAAAGGTCAACCAGTAAACAACCAAAGAAAGGTCAACCAGTAAACAACAGAAAGGTCAACCAGTAAACAACAACAGAAAGGTCAACCAGTAAACAAATTATCAACAATGACCAAATAGATAAAACTGGAAATCAACTATTTGTCATTTTGTCTACTTGTACAAGGTACAGAAACAATGTATAACATACTGATACTGCCCAACACAAGTGTGTCATTCATTGTTAAAAACAAAATTTCTAATTTCAGCTATGTCATATTTTTGTATCTTAGAGCAGTAACTAAAATTAACAATCAATCTAGCAAAAAGTTGACATTGAGAAGTTAAAAAAAGTTAATCTGTGTATTCCTTTCACTAACTGAGAGAAAGAATTATTCCATACCTGTGTAAGTATTTTGCCTTTGTTAAGATGAGCGATGACAAAATTAGGGTCAAGGTCAATAGCTTTCTGTGTATTTTCCAATCCATCCCGAAATCGCTGTAAATCAAAATACATCTGTCCTTGTTTCATCTTCACCTCAGCATTATCTGTAGAGTATAATAATGTCATCTATTGAAATTCTATCTCAGCCAAGTAGATCTCCACCACTACTGTGTCTCTCTCAGGTAGATCTCCACCACTACTGTGTCTGTGTCAGGTAGATCTCAACTACTACTGTGTCTGTGTCAGGTAGATCTCAACTACTACTGTGTCTCTGTTAGGTAGATCTCAACCACTACTGTGTCTCTGTCAGGTAGATCTCAACCACTACTGTCTGTGTCAGGTATATCTCAACTACTACTGTGTCTGTGTCATGTAGATCTCAACTACTACTGTGTCTCTGTCAGGTAGATCTCAACCACTACTGTGTCTGTGTCAGGTAGATCTCCACCACTACTGTGTCTCTGTCAGGTAGATCTTCACCACTACTGTGTCTCTGTCAGGTAGATCTCCACCACAACTGTGTCTGTCAGGTAGATCTCAACCACTACTGTGTCTCTGTCAGGTAGATCTCAACTACTACTGTGTCTGTGTCAGGTAGATCTCCACCACTACTGTGTCTCTGTCAGGTAGATCTCAACCACTACTGTGTCTGTGTCAGGTAGATCTCAACTACTACTGTTTCTGTGTCAGGTAGATCTCCACCACTACTGTGTCTCTGTCAGGTAGATCTCCACCACAACTGTGTCTGTCAGGTAGATCTCAACCACTACTGTGTCTCTCTCAGGTAGATCTCCACCACTACTGTGTCTGTGTCAGGTAGATCTCAACTACTACTGTGTCTGTGTCAGGTAGATCTCAACTACTACTGTGTCTCTGTTAGGTAGATCTCCACCACTACTGTGTCTCTGTCAGGTAGATCTCAACCACTACTGTGTCAGGTAGATCTCAACTACTACTGTTTCTGTGTCAGGTAGATCTCCACTACAACTGTGTCTGTCAGGTAGATCTCAACCACTACTGTGTCTCTGTCAGGTAGATCTCAACTACTACTGTGTCTGTGTCAGGTAGATCTCCACCACTACTGTGTCTCTGTCAGGTAGATCTCAACCACTACTGTGTCTGTGTCAGGTAGATCTCAACTACTACTGTGTCTGTGTCAGGTAGATATCCACCACAACTGTGTCTGTGTCAGGTAGATCTCAACCACTACTGTGTCTCTGTCAGGTAGATCTCCACCACTACTGTGTCAGTGTCAGGTAGATCTCAACTACTACTGTGTCTCTGTCAGGTAGATATCCACCACAACTGTGTCTGTGTCAGGTACTGTGTCTGTCAGGTAGATCTCCACCACTACTGTGTCTGTCAGGTAGATCTCCACCACTACTGTGTCTGTGTCAGGTAGATCTCAACAACTACTGTGTCTCTGTCAGGTAGATCTCAACCACTACTGTGTCTGTGTCAGGTAGATCTCTGTGATACTTCCCACCACTACTGTGTCTGTGTAACACTACTGTGTCTGTGTCAGGTAGATCCACCACTACTGTGTCTGTGTCAGGTAGATCTCAACCACTACTGTGTCTGTGTGTGTCTCAACCACTGTCAGGTACTGATCTGTCAGGTAGATCTCAACCACTACTGTGTCTCTGTCAGGTAGATCTCAACCACTACTGTGTCTGTGTCAGGTAGATCTCAACAACTACTGTGTCTGTGTCAGGTAGATCTCAACCACTACTGTGTCTCTGTCAGGTAGATCTCAACTACTACTGTGTCTGTGTCAGGTAGATCTCAACCACTACTGTGTCTGTCAGGTAGATCTCCACCACTACTGTGTCTCTGTCAGGTATATCTCAACTACTACTGTGTCTGTGTCAGGTAGATCTCAACCACTACTGTGTCTCTGTCAGGTAGATCTCAACCACTACTATGTCTGTGTCAGGTAGATCTCCACCACTACTGTGTCTCTGTCTGTCAGGTAGATCTCCACCACTACTGTGTGTCAGGTAGATCTCAACCACTACTGTGTCTGTCAGGTAGATCTCAACAACTACTGTGTCTGTGTCAGGTAGATCTCAACCACTACTGTGTCTCTGTCAGGTAGATCTCAACCACTACTGTGTCTGTGTCAGGTAGATCTCAACCACTACTGTGTCTCTGTCAGGTAGATCTCAACCACTACTGTGTCTCTGTCAGGTAGATCTCAACCACTACTGTGTCTGTGTCAGGTAGATCTCCACCACTACTGTGTCTGTGTCAGGTAGATCTCCACCACTACTGTGTCTGTGTCAGGTAGATCTCCTGAACAACTCGAACACTACTGTGTCTGTGTCAGGTAGATCTCAACCACTACTGTGTCTCTGTCAGGTAGATCTCCACCACAACTGTGTCTCTGTCAGGTAGATCTCAACCACTACTGTGTCTCTGTCAGGTCGATCTCCGGTAGATCTCCACCACTACTGTGTCTGTGTCAGGTAGATCTCCACCACTACTGTGTCTCTGTCAGGTAGATCTCCACCACTACTGTGTCTGTGTCAGGTAGATCTCAACCACTACTGTGTCTCTGTCAGGTAGATCTCAACCACTACTATGTCTGTGTCAGGTAGATCTCCACCACTACTGTGTCTCTGTCAGGTAGATCTCCACCACTACTGTGTCTCTGTCAGGTAGATCTCCACCACTACTGTGTCTCTGTCAGGTAGATCTCCACCACTACTGTGTCTGTGTCAGGTAGATCTCAACCACTACTGTGTCTCTGTCAGGTAGATCTCAACCACTACTGTGTCTGTCAGGTAGATCTCCACCACTACTGTGTCTGTGTCAGGTAGATCTCCACCACTACTGTGTCTGTGTCAGGTAGATCTCCACCACTACTGTGTCTGTGTCAGGTAGATCTCCGGTAGATCTCCACCACTACTGTGTCTGTGTCAGGTAGATCTCCACCACTACTGTGTCTCTGTCAGGTAGATCTCCACCACTACTGTGTCTGTGTCAGGTAGATCTCAACCACTACTGTGTCTCTGTCAGGTAGATCTCAACCACTACTGTGTCTGTGTCAGGTAGATCTCCACCACTACTGTGTCTCTGTCAGGTAGATCTCACTACCACTACTACTGTGTCTCTGTCAGGTAGATCTCCACCACTACTGTGTCTGTGTCAGGTAGATCTGTGTCTCTGTCACCACCACTACTGTGTCTCTGTCAGGTAGATCTCAACCACTACTGTGTCTGTGTCAGGTGTCTACTGTGTGTCAGGTAGATCTCAACTACTACTGTGTCTCTGTCAGGTAGATATCCACCACAACTGTGTCTGTGTCAGGTAGATCTCAACTACTACTGTGTCTCTGTTAGGTAGATCTCAACCACTACTGTGTCTCTGTAAGGTAGATCTCAACTACTACTGTGTCTCTGTTAGGTAGATCTCAACCACTACTGTGTCTCTGTCAGGTAGATCTCAACCACTACTGTGTCTGTGTCAGGTAGATCTCCACCACTACTGTGTCTGTGTCAGGTAGATCTCCACCACTACTGTGTCTCTGTCAGGTAGATCTCAACCACTACTGTGTCTGTGTCAGGTAGATCTCCACCACTACTGTGTCTGTGTCAGGTAGATCTCCACCACTACTGTGTCTGTGTCAGGTAGATCTCAACCACTACTGTGTCTCTGTCAGGTAGATCTCAACCACTACTGTGTCTGTGTCAGGTAGATCTCCACCACTACTGTGTCTGTGTCAGGTAGATCTCAACTACTACTGTGTCTCTGTCAGGTAGATCTCAACCACTACTGTGTCTGTGTCAGGTAGATCTCCACCACTACTGTGTCTGTGTCAGGTAGATCTCCACCACTACTGTGTCTCTGTCAGGTAGATCTCCACCACAACTGTGTCTGTCAGGTAGATCTCAACCACTACTGTGTCTCTGTCAGGTAGATCTCAACTACTACTGTGTCTGTGTCAGGTAGATCTCCACCACTACTGTGTCTCTGTCAGGTAGATCTCAACCACTACTGTGTCTGTGTCAGGTAGATCTCAACTACTACTGTTTCTGTGTCAGGTAGATCTCCACCACAACTGTGTCTGTGTCAGGTAGATCTCAACTACTACTGTGTCTCTGTCATGTAGATCTCAACCACTACTGTGTCTGTGTCAGGTAGATCTCAACCACTACTGTGTCTCTGTCAGGTAGATCTCCACCACTACTGTGTCTGTCAGGTAGATCTCCACCACTACTGTGTCTGTCAGGTAGATCTCCACCACAACTGTGTCTGTCAGGTAGATCTCAACCACTACTGTGTCTGTCAGGTAGATCTCAACCACTACTGTGTCTGTGTCAGGTAGAACTCAACCACTACTGTGTCTGTGTCAGGTAGATCTCCACCACTACCTTGTCTCTGTCAGGTAGATCTCAACCACTACTGTGTCTGTCAGGTAGATCTCCACCACTACTGTGTCTCTGTCAGGTAGATCTCAACCACTACTGTGTCTCTGTCAGGTAGATCTGTTTTATAAAACCTGTTAACATAAATACAGCCGGTGCAGTAATGAGTCTGACTAGCAGGAAAGATAAACAGCAAGACTTACCTGGTAGTAACTGTGCAAGTTTGCTGTAAATCTGAATTTTTCTTGACTCCAATTTCTTTTTTTTCTCATCTGAACTGGAAGTACCACCTAGTTCATTGGAGACTGCTAGTTCTGTGCCAAAATAAATCAATAATCAAAATGTTGAGAAGATGTGAACCTGTCTGTACAGGAAATCTTCAGTGTGGTATAGAAGAGACTATCTCTAGGGACATCATTGTATGTTATGTGATGAACAGAACAAGTGTCTGTAAATATAGGTCAAACATTCACATCATGTAACATCAGGTGTCAGTCAAGTCAGGTGACAGTTAAGTCAGGTGTCAGTCAGGTCAGTTGTCAGTCAGGTCAGGTGTCAGTCAAATCAGGTGTCAGTCAAGTCAGGTGTCAGTAAAGTCAGGTGTCAGTCAAATAAGGTGTCAGTCAAATCAGGTGTCAGTAAAGTCAGGTGTCAGTCAAATCAGGTGTCAGTCAAATCAGGTGTCAGTAAAGTCAGGTGTCAGTCAAATCAGGTGTCAGTCAAGTCAATTATCAGTAAAGTCAGGTGTCAGTCAGGTCAGGTGTCAGTCAAATCAGGTGTCAGTAAAGTCAGGTGTCAGTCAAATCAGGTGTCAGTCAAATCGGTGTCAGTCAAATCAGGTGTCAGTCAAATCAGGTGTCAGTAAAGTCAGGTGTCAGTCAAATCAGGTGTCAGTAAAGTCAGGTGTCAGTCAAGTCAATTATCAGTAAAGTCAGGTGTCAGTCAGGTCAGGTGTCAGTAAAGTCAGGTATCAGTCGAGTCAGGTTGCCTACAGTCAGATATAATAAATTTGAAGTAAGATGAAATCTTGTTGTGATGTTTACTGTTACATGTATGTTTGCTAGCCCAGTCTCTTACCCTCATAGAACAGACGCTCCTCCTTGGTTCTGGCTCGTTTCTTCTGTATACCTACAGCCACAGTGTCCCCCAAATTTATCGTACCATGATATGTTCCTTCCGGCTGATAATGAACAAATACTTCAATTATTGATAAAACATTAGTACCTTTAGTTTACATTACAAACAGAATAGCATTATGATATCAACACAGATAAAACTTCCTGGGGCAGAATTTCCTGTAAATCTTACTGAAATAAATGTATTTATAATAATTTGTAAATGTCAATTAGGACCAATTGAAACAAAAGATTCTGTGGCTCTAATTATTAATCACTTTCATGATTTTAAGTCCATGCAAATAAAAAATTGAAATCTGCAGCTTCTGAAATAAGGATTTATCTTGATACGGTGAAAAGACATTTGGTGTTTCCTTAATTTACCTGTACCTGACTGGCTCACATCCAGCCTATGATTGTGATGTCCCCAAGTTGTATCTGATTTACCAGGTAAGTTATTTCTTCTTGCCTGGGTAGCTGTTTACCTGTATGACTTACCAGGTAGACTATTTCTTCTTGCCTGGGTAGCTGTTTACCTGTATGACTTACCAGGTAGACTATTTCTTCTTGCCTGGGTAGCTGTTTACCTGTATGACTTACCAGGTAGACTATTTCTCCTGTCTGTGTAGCTGTTTACCTGTATGACTTACCAGGTAGACTATTTCTTCTTGCCTGGGTAGCTGTTTACCTGTATGACTTACCAGGTAGACTATTTCTTCTTGCCTGGGTAGCTGTTTACCTGTATGACTTACCAGGTAGACTATTTCTCCTGTCTGTGTAGCTGTTTACCTGTATGACTTACCAGGTAGACTATTTCTTCTTGCCTGGGTAGCTGTTTACCTGTATGACTTACCTGACAGACTATTTCTCCTGTCTGTGTAACTGTTTACCTGTATGACTTACCTGACAGACTATTTCTCCTGTCTGTGTAGCTGTTTACCTGTATGACTTACCAGGTAGACTATTTCTTCTTGCCTGGGTAGCTGTTTACCTGTATGACTTAACAGGTAGACTATTTCTTCTTGCGTGGGTAGCTGTTTACCTGTATGACTTACCTGACAGACTATTTCTCCTGTCTTTGTAGCTGTTTACCTGTATGACTTACCAGGTAGACTATTTCTTCTTGCCTGGGTAGCTGTTTACCTGTATGACTTACCAGGTATACTATTTCTTCTTGCCTGGGTAGCTGTTTACCTGTATGACTTACCAGGTAGACTATTTCTCCTGTCTGTGTAGCTGTTTACCTGTATGACTTACCAGGTAGACTATTTCTTCTTGCCTGGGTAGCTGTTTACCTGTATGACTTACCTGACAGACTATTTCTCCTGTCTGTGTAACTGTTTACCTGTATGACTTACCTGACAGACTATTTCTCCTGTCTGTGTAGCTGTTTACCTGTATGACTTACCAGGTAGACTATTTCTTCTTGCCTGGGTAGCTGTTTACCTGTATGACTTAACAGGTAGACTATTTCTTCTTGCGTGGGTAGCTGTTTACCTGTATGACTTACCTGACAGACTATTTCTCCTGTCTTTGTAGCTGTTTACCTGTATGACTTACCTGACAGACTATTTCTGTTTGTGTAGCTGTTTACCTGTATGACTTACCAGTTAGACTATTTCTCCTGTCTGTGTAGCTGTTTACCTGTATGACTTACCTGACAGACTATTTCTAATGTCTGTGAAGCTGTTTACCTGTATGACTTACCTGACAGACTATTTCTCCTGTCTGTGTAGCTGTTTACCTGTATGACTTACCAGGTAGACTATTTCTCCTGTCTGTGTAGCTGTTTACCTGTATGACTTACCTGACAGACTATTTCTCCTGTCTGTGTAGCTGTTTACCTGTGTGACTTACCAGGTAGACTATTTCTCCTGTCTGTGTAGCTGTTTACCTGTATGACTTACCTGACAGACTATTTCTGTTTGTGTAGCTGTTTACCTGTATGACTTACCAGTTAGACTATTTCTCCTGTCTGTGTAGCTGTTTACCTGTATGACTTACCTGACAGACTATTTCTAATGTCTGTGAAGCTGTTTACCTGTATGACTTACCTGACAGACTATTTCTCCTGTCTGTGTAGCTGTTTACCTGTATGACTTACCAGGTAGACTATTTCTCCTGTCTGTGTAGCTGTTTACCTGTATGACTTACCTGACAGACTATTTCTGTTTGTGTAGCTGTTTACCTGTATGACTTACCAGTTAGACTATTTCTCCTGTCTGTGTAGCTGTTTACCTGTATGACTTACCTGACAGACTATTTCTAATGTCTGTGAAGCTGTTTGCCTGTATGACTTACCTGACAGACTATTTCTCCTGTCTGTGTAGCTGTTTACCTGTGTGACTTACCAGGTAGTCTATTTCTCCTGTCTGTGTAGCTGTTTATCTGTATGACTTACCAAGTAGAGTATTTCCCCTGCCTCCTGTACACACTCCTGTGGTTTGAGAGCGTCATCCAGGTAAGGGTAAAGTTTTTTGTACCATTCATTTTGTGTAAACCCGGGGTACACACCTGTATCACAAAATAAACTGAGAACAGTATGCTCCAAGCACTGAATGCTCTAACTAAGCACAGAATGGTCTAACTAAGCACAGAATACTCTAAATTAGTACAGAATGGTCTAACTGAGTACAGAATGATCTAACTGAGTACAGAATGGTCTAACTGAGTACAGAATGATCTAACTGAGTACAGAATGGTCTAACTGAGTACAGAATGGTCTTACTGAGTACAGATTGGTTTAACTACGCACAGAATGGTCTAACTGAGTACAGAATACTCTAAGTTAGCACAGAATGGTCTAACTGAGTACAGAATGGTCTAATTGAATACAGAATACTCTAAGTTAGTACAGAATGGTCTGAGTACAGAATACTCTAAGTTAGTACAGAATGGTCTAACTGAGTACAGAATGATCTAACTGAGTACAGAATGGTCTAACTGAGTACAGAATACTCTAAGTTAGTACAGAATGATCTAACTGTACACAGAATAATCTAAGTGAGTACAGAATGGTCTAACTGAGTACAGAATGATCTCAGTACAGAATGATCTAATTGAGTACAGAATGGTCTAACTGAGTACAGAATGGTCTTACTGAGTACAGAATGATCTAACTGAGTACAGAATGATCTAACTGAGTACAGAATGGTCTTACTGAGTACAAATTGGTCTAACTGCGCACAGAATGGTCTAACTGAGTACAGAATGGTCTAACTGAGTACAGATTGGTCTAACTGAGTACATAATGGTCTTACTGAGTACAGATTGGTCTAACTAAGCACAGAATGGTCTAACTGAGTACAGAATACTCTAAGTTAGCACAGAATGGTCTAACTGAGTACAGAATACTCTAACTGTACTCAGAATGGTCTAACGGAGTACAGAATGGTCTAACTGAGTACAGAATACTCTAACTGTACACAGAATGTTCTGAGTACAGAATGGTCTAATGGAGTACAGAATGATCTCAGTACAGAATGGTCTAACTGAGTACAGAATATTCTAACTGGACACAGAGTACTCTAACTGGACACAGAATACTTTAACTGAACACAGAATGGACACAGAATACTCTAACTGGACACAGAATACTCTAACTGAATTGATCTAAAGTACACAGACTTCAGCTAACATTATACACTATATAAAGGTATATTATGGCTTTGATGTATTAACTACCACAACAAATCTATATTCAAACATATTCTAGAAACTGACATACACAAAGAAAGGTGTGTTATTATTTAAGAATTGACAAATTTGATGAATTTGACAAAGAAATCTTCAGCCCTCTCAAACTTTATGATGACTCATGATTAGGAGGTGGGGCAGAGGTGGGACAGAGGTGGGACAGAGGTGGGGCAGATGCGGGGCAGAGGCGAGGCAGAGGTGGGGCAGAGGCAGGGCAGAGGTGGGGCAGAGGTGGGGCAGAGGCGGGGCAGATGCGGGGCAGAGGCGAGGCACAGGTGGGGCAGAGGTGGGGCAGAGGTGGGGCATGTGTGGTATCACATCTAAAATATCACTAAGTACATTTTTATATCAGGGAAATTAATTAATTTATGACACATTTAATGTTTTCTATAGGGGTTTAAAAATGTTCAAACTGTGCATTAAAATATATTATAACAATATCAATATTTTGTTAGAAAAAATTTAATATTGATTTAACATTGTAAAAAAATATGTTCAGACAGTCTGTATCTCGACTCAAATACAGCAACAGAATCATAAAAATAAAAACACTCATTTTCATTCTTTAATGAAAGTTAGATTGACACCGTTAAAAGAATCAATATTTTGTCAGCCAGATAAAACAGCTGGAAATGTATAACTACAAGGAAAAATCCCTTCAGGCTAAATTGTCACTTTAAACAACATAGAAAAACTATGAATATTTCATTCTTCTTATCGACAGGTTGATGTAAGGCAAAATTACAGAGAAAAAGATGAAAGGAAAGATGTTTTAGTTCAATAAATGCTACACAAGCCGAGATTGTTTTAAGATCTCGTCAAATCACTCTCAATAACATTTCACTTCTCAGGGTTTTACTGAAGTGTTGTTCAAACACCTTGTGAGCACTTTCATCATATTGCCTTGAAAATGCTACAAAGTACATACAGCTGATGACAGATCCAACAGATGATCAAACTGATTTATAATAGACATCCTGTCTAATTCACAACCTGTTCATTCTGTTCCAAGCACAAAGATCATTTCAGCATTTATTTTTCTGGATCAAAATAAATTATGTACTTAGAAATAAATTTCCTATATTTTCTGTATATGTTCTACCTTACATAAACACATCAATTTCAAATTTTGAAATATAAATCATTTTCTTCTTTACCTCCTGGTGGTGTTTGATGAATGTCATACAAGAACCATCTCTTTCGGCCAAAGATAACACCATTCCAGGCATCAGCATGTTTGTGGAAACTAACACCACTGCTGGATGCTCCCATGAAAAATATACTGTCATCTACACCATCCTGGAGATTGAGGAAGAAAACCATATATGTATTTATAAGTCATTAAGGGGAGGTAACTCCATAAAACATATAAATAATCTATATAATTCATGGGGAGAAAACCATAAATTTATGCAAGTAATTAAAGGGAGATATTTACACACATAAGCCTAAGGTCTCACTATATACATTTCTATATAACCCTGTATAATCTGGGCACCTCTATAAACCAGACCTACACCTAGGTCCCTTTTGTAGACATTTCTATGTAACCCTGTTTAAACTGGACACCTTCATATAACAGAGCATAATTTTTATGATCACCCAGTATATACATGTTATCTTAAACAATAATAAAACAATTTTAACATAAGATGATCTCTGATAATCAGAAACTTAGACAACCTCAATAGAAATCTTAGTCAACGTGATGCTTGGCTTGGACAGACTTCAGTGCAACGTGACATTCCATTCAAGAGTCTTAAGGCATCTCCATCACATTTTATCTGCCTGCACTTGTACATGATACTTAAAATCTTATCTTAAGATCAGAATTTTAGCCAAGAACACCTTTAACTCAGAGAACTCTGAAGCTTAAAATGTATCAAAAATTCATAAAGCCAGCAGAATTTTACAGATGTACTACTACAGGAAACATGTTTCTTTTATCATAAACTTTCTCTTTGCCTGTACTTTGTAAATCAAGTTATTATGGAGGTTAAACCATGGCTATTTTCCAAACTTTATCAAATATTCATCCTAGATCTTTGACTCGCTACCTCAGTCTGAACAGTACATTTGGAGTTCAAAAAAGCTAAATTGTTACATATGAATGATTCATTTTCATAAAGTTTGGTAAAAAAAAAATTATATTTTGAAATTCCTGAAAATTACAAAATGGCTTAATTGATTTATCATGAAATAACTACAATAGTAAAAGATATCAATCCAACTTTTTGAATCTATTCCATGTGAATTATTATCTCCCACTTTGGAAACTTTGTACAGTAGTATAGCATAGCGCTTCAAAAAACAGGACCTCACAAATGTTTCTGATACCAGAGATGTTTGTAAGCCACTTCAAAAATACTCTGAAAACTTCTAGAAGGTGAAGTTTAATCTGCTTTATATATCGTGTAAATTTGTATCATAAGGTTGTAGATTCAACTTGTTTTCTGACAAAACATCTATAATGCTATATACACATCCTCACCTTGATTTCGAAATATTTTGGCGGTTTTAAAGTTTTCGGCAGAGTTGAATCATTGTAGAAACTTCGGTCAAAGATGTAGCTAAAAATAGATCAAAATTTATACTAATACAAAATCATAAGAGTAATTCATTCTAAAGTATGACAGAAATAACTGTCTTAATCTGCAGAACAATATTGTACCAAAGCATGCAGCTGTAGTATTGAATTGATTGTCTAGAATTACACATATGACAACATTCAGGATTTAACACATTAAACATAGATATGTATTGAACAAATTAGGAGAAATTTCAAGGTAAATTTTGATAAGATTTTTATCTCAATCAACACTTTTTACCCTAAATACTCAGAATGGCAGGCGATGGACCTCTGGTATGTTGTTCAGTGACGTAGCCATCAGCTACATTTACAACAAGGAAATCCTATCTCAAAATGATCCTGGCTGTTCACAGAGTGACAAACCCAGCCAACTGACAATCCATTGAGTCAGCCATTCAGTCATTTTCTAATTCACTACAATAATCTTTGTGACCCTGAGAAACTTTCCACATAATCATCACGGCTCTCTCAGATGATAGATACCAGTGGATGTAATCCATCACAGATGTAATTACACATATTTATAAAACAACACCAGATTTATTTCTATCTAAACACTTACATATTTGATCCATGCAACAGGGTCATTTTCTATGGTTTAGAGGACAAGAGACAAAACACACGTCAGTATTAAATGTTTGTAATGTCAGCGACCGATGTTGCCTGTCCAAGTGGAACATTCTACGGTTTTATTTTTGTATTTCTATCAATATAACTACTCTACTTACTGTGATTGTAGATCATCTGCTGACATATCTCTAGTACATTAGTTAGTGTCTGTCCTAAATACAGCAAAAAATGACTTGTTTTTTTTTAAACAAAAATTTAAAAGTCTAGAAAGTCTAGACAGTAAATCAAAAATTCAAAGTAAAAATTAGCTATTTTTCCAGGATTTTATATAAAAGACCACTATTTGTAAATTTTTAGGATTTTTTTTCTATCTATGCATATCTTTCTATCAATTTGCTAGGCTGGAATGAACTGTTTCACAGTTAATAGATAAAACTGTTTCAATATTCCTGTGAAACTTTTGCTTTTAAATTTTGACAAAATTTCCAGATATTTCAAGTTATCTTTTTTTTTTTTTATAATGTCACTTTCCTCAAACATAACTAAAAATAAAACACCTTGTAAAAAATCAATGTTTATCATATTTCTGAATTAAAGTTTCAAAAATAATCAAAATATTTGTAAATATGTTGACAGTGAATACTTAATCTACCTGCTGTTGGTATTTAATACTTACAAGGGATCTCCCATAGCATCTCTGTCCTTCATCAGCTTATCTACATAATCAGTAAACGAGGTAGTCATGTGACCATTTCCTCCCCTTCGTACTATTTCTAGTGAGTTTCCATACAGAACTGACCACTTGCCATACTCGCGTTTGAGACTCTTCACTGACCACCGGTCAGGCTGTGTCCAGTCCTTGGCTCCATTAGGAAAGGTCACTATTACAGGTTTCTTATATCTATAACTTCTCTCAAACTGCTCACTAGTAAGATCAAGAGCCGAAAGTCGGTCAATAGTACAAAGCGTGGAATCAAACTGACGATTGGTTTCATCGCTTGCCAACTGCCATCCACCTGTAGACTTGGATTTACCCGATGGTTTGTCAGACGATTTATCTGAGGAGTTCTGAGCACTTTTTTTTGTATGCGATGATGATGACTCTGTGGAGGGTTTTGATGATGACGCCGATGTTTTTTGTTGTGACGATGATTCAGGTGATGACCTTGATGATGATTTTGACTGTTGTGAGTGTTTAGAGTCTGGTGTAAAATGAGGCACTTCGGAGCTTTTTAGGTCTCCAGGAATTAAAGAAGTTAAGTATGATTCTGGGACATACAAAAACACAAGATAAGCGCCCACCGCAGCCACCAAGACACCTACTGTGGCTATCTGAAGATATTGTGGAACACCATTTGATGACTTTTTGTGTTTGGCCCGTGATGGACTCGGAGGTTTGGCAACATAGTCTTGGTTTCCATTGGTGCCATTAGACACTGGGCGATTCTTCTTTCCCATAGATAACAGGTTACATCTACAAATACAAATGTTCAGTCAGTGATAATGTCTAACATCATCAACAAGAAAAACATCAACATCATGACATCCTTGTGGAACACTTGTTTCAACAAAAAGATTTTCCGCAGTAATAATGACACCAGTCTTGAGTTTCAACCCCTAAATGTGAAAGCTTTCATAATTTCATTCAACTTTATACATGGAGGCCTTGTGTTTTTTGTTCTCGTTGATGAGGAACAGCTTCAACACCAGGTGTTGTGTGAGTCCTATTTAACAATTAACCAGAAATAACACTATTCCTACAGTGTTAGAAGATTTCACAGCTGTTGACCATTGGTTAGTACAAATGTACTGTTCATATAGACATATTGTAATATTATCTTCCAAAAGTTTGTAATTCCAATGTCTCCTCAGCAAATATAATGTTAGCCTGTAGAAACACTTTCTTTGATGTACAGAACAAGGTGTTCAAATGTTTATCACCCTGTCATGTCATTGTAGCGTGATAACATAACATCATTAACAAAATGAATTTCAAGTCTTTGAAAAAAAAGGAAGTGATTAAAATTTGGAATGAAAAAATATCTATTTAGAAAACTTGCTAAAAATGATGTCAAGTATTGATAAATTTAATTAACAGGTTGTTTATATCTGAAATAATTTTTTAAGCTCACAAGACAAAAACCTAGAACAAAATTACTAAGATGTAGATTTGCAGGTTTTTAAGATGAAGCCATTTAATTGTATCCATTTAGTAGAGTATACCTCAGTTTTCATTGGTTGGTATCAAAATCTCAGCTAGTCCTGTTATAACACATCAAAAAGGGGTGGGTAGCATTTTAACTGGAACATGATCAACCTCTGACCCATTGTGTTGTATAAAACCCACAGTAGAATGGAAATAAAGAGCTTATATCTTTCTCAAATAGAATAACACTCCAAACATTCTACATGGTTAAGTATACCATTCAAGTACTAAGCTGATCAGGTCACAATAAACACAATATTTCACTCTCTTAAACAGTCAGGCAGTATAATTCTATTATGAAAAAAAAACAGCTGACATTTCATTTCTCGTACCTAATATATCACTTATAGTAACACAGTGGTTATTTATGTATAAACATCTGGATATCAAAACACAAAATATATGTTCTATTATTATTTCACTGCTAAACTATTGCTGTCAAATTCTCCTAATTAATTACAGAATTTTAATAACTTTGTATAATAATATCTATAACAAAATTATTATTGTTACACACATGTAATATGCCATAGCTGGCCTGTGATTGGCTGATGGTTTCTGTGGTTTCCATGGTGATGTCATTGGATTTCTGTTTTTTTATTATACCAATTTCAACAATTTTGGCAATACAAACAAATTTAGACTTTAGAAAAGAAGTTCATATAGCATAAACAGTAGAAAATTGGAGTGTGACATTTCAATGACTAAATGGCAATCCTGATCGCTTTTTAGGCTAAACGTACTCAGTACGTAATAGCCTATTGCGACGGACTTTCAGACAAAATTTTTCTACCTTAGTGTACCTAGGACTACAGTAGTAGGTCGGTGTATGTCAGTTCTAGTCCACACCACACTGGTCATTTGTCTGATGAAGTTGACCGTGTAGATCTTGTACACTACGTACGTCAGTGCTAGTACACTCCACACTGGTCATTTGTCTGATGAAGTTGACCGTGTAGATCTTGTACACTACGTACATCAGTGTTAGTACGCTTCACACTGGTCATTTGTCTGATGAAGGTGACCGTGTAGATCTTGTACACTATGTACGTCAGTGTTAGTACACTCCACACTGGTCATTTGTCTGATGAAGTTGACCGTGTAGATCTTGCACACTATGTACGTCAGTGCTAGTACACTCCACACTAGTCATTTGTCTGATGAAGTTGACCGTGTAGATCTTGTACACTATGTACGTCAGTGTTAGTACGCTCCACACTGGTCATTTGTCTGATGAAGGTGACCGTATAGATCTTGTACACTATGTACGTCAGTGCTAGTACGCTCCACACTGGTCATTTGATTGATGAAGGTGACCGTGTAGATCTTGTACACTATGTACGTCAGTGCTAGTACGCTCCACACTGGTCATTTGTCTGATGAAGGTGACCGTGTAGATCTTGTACACTACGTACGTCAGTGCTAGTACGCTCCACACTGGTCATTTGTCTGATGAAGTTGACCGTGTAGATCTCGTACACTACGTACGTCAGTGCTAGTACGCTCCACACTGGTCATTTGTCTGATGAAGGTGACCGTGTAGATCTCGTACACTACGTACGTCAGTGCTAGTACACTCCACACTGGTCATTTGTCTGATGAAGGTGACCGTGTAGATCTCGTACACTATGTACGTCAGTGCTAGTACACTCCACACTGGTCATTTGTCTGATGAAGGTGACTGTGTAGATCTTGTACACTATGTACGTCAGTGCTAGTACGCTCCACACTGGTCATTTGTCTGATGAAGGTGACCGTGTAGATCTCGTACACTACGTACGTCAGTGCTAGTACACTCCACACTGGTCATTTGTCTGATGAAGGTGACCGTGTAGATCTCGTACACTATGTACGTCAGTGCTAGTACACTCCACACTGGTCATTTGTCTGATGAAGGTGACCGTGTAGATCTTGTACACTATGTACGTCAGTGCTAGTACACTCCACACTGGTCATTTGTCTGATGAAGGTGACTGTGTAGATCTTGTACACTATGTACGTCAGTGCTAGTACACTCCACACTGGTCATTTGTCTGATGAAGTTGACTGTGTAGTCATTGAAACATCACACTAAAATTGTCAACTGGTTGAGTTATGAGAACTTCTATTCTATTGACTTTACCAATCTCTTCTTAGACTTGTTTCATAAATCTGAATAAATATGAAATGAGAATTATCTCTTCTGTATAGATCACTTTAAAAGATTGCTCTGTTTAGATCTCTTAATGGTCTCCTCTGTCTAGATCTCTTAATGGTCTCCTCTGTCTAGATCTCTTAATGACCTCCTCTGTCTAAATCTCTTAATGGTCTCCTCTGTCTAGATCTCTTTATGGTCTCCTCTGTCTTGATCTCTTAATGATCTCCTCTGTCTAGATCTCTTAATGATCTCCTCTGTCTAGATCTCTTAATGGTCTCCTCTGTCTAAATCTCTTAATGATCTCCTCTGTCTAGATCTCTTAATGATCTCCTCTGTCTATATATCTTAATGGTCTCCTCTGTCTAGATATCTTAATGATCTCCTCTGTCTATATATCTTAATGGTCTCCTCTGTCTATACATCTTAATGGTCTCCTGTCTAGATCTCTTAATGGTCTCCTGTCTAGATCTCTTAATGGTCTCCTCTGTCTAGATCTCTTAATGATCTTCTCTGTCTAGATATCTTAATGGTCTCCTCTGTCTAGATATCTTAATGATCTCCTCTGTCTAAATCTCTTAATGGTCTCCTCTGTCTAGATATGTTAATGGTCTCCTCTGTCTAGATATGTTAATGGTCTCCTCTGTCTAGATATCTTAATGATCTCCTCTGTCTAGATATGTTAATGGTCTCCTCTGTCTAGATCTCTTAATGGTCTCCTCTGTCTAGATATCTTAATGATCTCCTCTGTCTAGATATGTTAATGATCTCCTCTGTCTAGATATGTTAATGATCTCCTCTGTCTAGATATGTTAATGATCTCCTCTGTCTAGATATGTTAATGATCTCCTCTGTCTAGATATCTTAATGATCTCCTCTGTCTAGATATGTTAATGATCTCCTCTGTCTAGATATGTTAATGATCTCCTCTGTCTAGATATGTTAATGGTCTCCTCTGTCTAGATCTCTTAATGATCTTCTCTGTCTAGATATCTTAATGGTCTCCTCTGTCTAGATATCTTAATGATCTCCTCTGTCTAAATCTCTTAATGGTCTCCTCTGTCTAGATATGTTAATGGTCTCCTCTGTCTAGATATGTTAATGGTCTCCTCTGTCTAGATATCTTAATGATCTCCTCTGTCTAGATATCTTAATGGTCTCCTCTGTCTAGATATGTTAATGGTCTCCTCTGTCTAGATATCTTAATGATCTCCTCTGTCTAGATATCTTAATGGTCTCCTCTGTCTAGATATGTTAATGGTCTCCTCTGTCTAGATATGTTAATGATCTCCTCTGTCTAGATATGTTAATGGTCTCCTCTGTCTAGATATGTTAATGGTCTCCTCTGTCTAGATATCTTAATGATCTCCTCTGTCTAGATATCGTAATGGTCTCCTCTGTCTAGATCTCTTAATGATCTCCTCTGTCTAGATATCTTAATGGTCTCCTCTGTCTAGATATCTTAATGGTCTCCTCTGTCTAGATATCTTAATGGTCTCCTCTGTCTAGATATGTTAATGATCTCCTCTGTCTAGATATGTTAATGGTCTCCTCTGTCTAGATATGTTAATGATCTCCTCTGTCTAGATATGTTAATGGTCTGTCTTGATCTCTTATTGATATCAGTTTACCACACATACCTTTTAACTGACATAAGAATATTCTTTCAGTAATCTGTTTGTAGGTTATTTGTTTAGATGTGTGTATAAATATATATACAACTTTTACAAAGTTGATGTTTAAAAACATGAAACTTTCCAGTTGCTTTGACCTTTGACTTAGTTTGACCTTATGGGTATTGAAATGGAGTAAAATGAAAGAAATGTATACAAAATTTTTGAGCACATGTTCATTGATAAATTTTGATTGTGTGATAGATACGCGAGATACAGCTAATAGTTTACAAAATCCTTATCAAATTATCAGGACATATACCGTAGTTAAATTTGTTGGTCAAATGTTCATGCTGAAGACATATTCACTCTGGAGAATCGTACAGAGGAGGAGAGAAAAAAAAATCAACATTTTAACTGATCTTTCATTGGACAATAAACATCCATTTCGTACAATTTTGTCAGACTGGATCAAGAGTATCAATAGCCATGAATGTGAAGTTTTTCAAGCGCACTCCAAT